ATGATATTATATTTTTCAAAAAATAAATGTCAAATAATTTTATTCTAAAATAATAACATTTTATAATTTGCTTTTATGAAAAGTCTTTAATTACTTTTTTTTAAGAGATTATCACTTTGCAATGGCTTTATTTTAAATTTAATTTACTACAGTGAATGATTTGGATGCCAATTTTAACTTCTCTATAATTTTATTAATTTTTACTTTTATCTTTGCAAAATTTGCATTATTCACCTGTAATATTAACAGATATATAAACGCTAATATTACTTAATATTACCGTCAAAATTTCTTTGGAGAAAATAATAGGCATTCCCAAGAATTGGTTGCGTTTTTGGACCTGGTAGTACACTTGCCGCTTGAAAGAATCGTAACCGTTTACGATAATCCGTGATTAGATATATTATACCAACACATATTAAGATTATCAATGCTACACTTGTAAATATCATGATGCAGCTTAAATGACGATGTAACCAATGCGATATATTTCGTCTCTACGTTCTCAACAAATGATAACTCTGTAATAGATAAATTATGAAAAAAATATAAGCTGTCTCATTTAAATTTGCTGCGCTAAGCACATTTTCTCACAATATCGTGTATTCTCGTTCGATATAAGATAAGAAGATAAGACAATATAAGATTAGCAAGATATCTTGTTTATCACTGTTTTAAAATTTCACTTGATTGTTTGCAAAATGCCGGACTCTCGTGCACAAATTGACACTGTATTTTCACATATAAGTTTGTATAACTTGAGTCTGAAATACACGCACTCTATATACACGAAGAAAACATAAAAATATTTCGCATATAGAAATATTGTTCTTACATTCTTTCAAAAAATTAATATAAAAATTCTGAACAAATCGATATACCGATATATATTGCCGCGAAGTAAACAGCATAATATGTTTTACCTCTAACGCTACCTCTGACAATAGCGTAACTTACAATACTGTTGTAACGAAAGAGTTGGAACATCAATAAATAGGGATTGTAGCAGTCAGTGGAAATTATATAGATGCAGGAAAACGTCGTTTTGCATACATTACAATAATAAATGTCCTCACGAAGACACTGACATATATATTATCTTCTTATGCAACTTCTTACAACACTACTTAAACTTTCAAGATCGTATCAGTTAAACGAGTTCGTCAAAGACAAAGTTCAATAATAATTATACGTCGCATTTTGTGTTCAAAGATGATTTACGTTCGAAGATAAAAGAATAGAGAATTTTAGGTTTTCTCCTATTGTTTATAAACAATAAACTAATGAATAAATGCAAGCGTTGCACTCTTACTTTTATTTGGTCTGGTTCGTTTGTAAAAATAATTAACTTGTTGCCCAACCAAAATCGAAATAGAGACGGGTAAGTATCCATGAGCAAAGATATACTGTTCAAGAATTCTGAAATTTTTTTATACTTTAGAAATATGTTATTGTTAAACAATTGTCTATATTTAATGATATTATATTTTTCAAAAAATAAATGTCAAATAATTTTATTCTAAAATAATAACATTTTATAATTTGCTTTTATGAAAAGTCTTTAATTACTTTTTTTTAAGAGATTATCACTTTGCAATGGCTTTATTTTAAATTTAATTTACTACAGTGAATGATTTGGATGCCAATTTTAACTTCTCTATAATTTTATTAATTTTTACTTTTATCTTTGCAAAATTTGCATTATTCACCTGTAATATTAACAGATATATAAACGCTAATATTACTTAATATTACCGTCAAAATTTCTTTGGAGAAAATAATAGGCATTCCCAAGAATTGGTTGCGTTTTTGGACCTGGTAGTACACTTGCCGCTTGAAAGAATCGTAACCGTTTACGATAATCCGTGATTAGATATATTATACCAACACATATTAAGATTATCAATGCTACACTTGTAAATATCATGATGCAGCTTAAATGACGATGTAACCAATGCGATATATTTCGTCTCTACGTTCTCAACAAATGATAACTCTGTAATAGATAAATTATGAAAAAAATATAAGCTGTCTCATTTAAATTTGCTGCGCTAAGCACATTTTCTCACAATATCGTGTATTCTCGTTCGATATAAGATAAGAAGATAAGACAATATAAGATTAGCAAGATATCTTGTTTATCACTGTTTTAAAATTTCACTTGATTGTTTGCAAAATGCCGGACTCTCGTGCACAAATTGACACTGTATTTTCACATATAAGTTTGTATAACTTGAGTCTGAAATACACGCACTCTATATACACGAAGAAAACATAAAAATATTTCGCATATAGAAATATTGTTCTTACATTCTTTCAAAAAATTAATATAAAAATTCTGAACAAATCGATATACCGATATATATTGCCGCGAAGTAAACAGCATAATATGTTTTACCTCTAACGCTACCTCTGACAATAGCGTAACTTACAATACTGTTGTAACGAAAGAGTTGGAACATCAATAAATAGGGATTGTAGCAGTCAGTGGAAATTATATAGATGCAGGAAAACGTCGTTTTGCATACATTACAATAATAAATGTCCTCACGAAGACACTGACATATATATTATCTTCTTATGCAACTTCTTACAACACTACTTAAACTTTCAAGATCGTATCAGTTAAACGAGTTCGTCAAAGACAAAGTTCAATAATAATTATACGTCGCATTTTGTGTTCAAAGATGATTTACGTTCGAAGATAAAAGAATAGAGAATTTTAGGTTTTCTCCTATTGTTTATAAACAATAAACTAATGAATAAATGCAAGCGTTGCACTCTTACTTTTATTTGGTCTGGTTCGTTTGTAAAAATAATTAACTTGTTGCCCAACCAAAATCGAAATAGAGACGGGTAAGTATCCATGAGCAAAGATATACTGTTCAAGAATTCTGAAATTTTTTTATACTTTAGAAATATGTTATTGTTAAACAATTGTCTATATTTAATGATATTATATTTTTCAAAAAATAAATGTCAAATAATTTTATTCTAAAATAATAACATTTTATAATTTGCTTTTATGAAAAGTCTTTAATTACTTTTTTTTAAGAGATTATCACTTTGCAATGGCTTTATTTTAAATTTAATTTACTACAGTGAATGATTTGGATGCCAATTTTAACTTCTCTATAATTTTATTAATTTTTACTTTTATCTTTGCAAAATTTGCATTATTCACCTGTAATATTAACAGATATATAAACGCTAATATTACTTAATATTACCGTCAAAATTTCTTTGGAGAAAATAATAGGCATTCCCAAGAATTGGTTGCGTTTTTGGACCTGGTAGTACACTTGCCGCTTGAAAGAATCGTAACCGTTTACGATAATCCGTGATTAGATATATTATACCAACACATATTAAGATACATTTATTTTTGTTTATTGTTTATTTCTCCTATTGTTAATACTTTATTGATTTTAACTTGTGTTAAATTTAATGTTAATGTATTTTTTTGTTAATGTAGTTTTTGTATTTTTATTAAAATTTTTTTATTAATTTGCAATGTATTTTTATATAAGCGATTACATTTTTTGTATTAAATGTGTTATTTATTGTGTACAGTTTTATCGTTAACCCATTGAGCAAAAAGTTGATCCAAAATATCTCTAAAAGATATCTAAATCTGGAATCTAATAATATGAAGAGTCTTCGAAATGATAACAAAATATTATTTAATACCCCGTTTTTTTGAGAACAGAAAAGGATGTCTTTAAAATATCCCAGATATGTCAACATATTGAAATCTCGTTTATGATGACAAAATAATTTTTTAAAATAATGGTAATTATGAAGGAGAATGGCCTCTTCATCGATTTGCATGAAACTTCGACAGATCGTGTATTTTGATGCGTAGAACACGATTCTGCAAGAAAAGGTGTCACTCTCAAGCGGTAAAAAGTTATGAAGTGTCGAAGATGCGCTGATAGATTTCCTAACCCCACATCGCATCGTCGATACGACAGATTTCTTGATCCTTCAAGTGTTATTTTTCAACATTTCATAACTTTTAATCCGCTTAAGAGCAACACTTTTTTTTTGCAGATTCCCGACAAAAACAGATACGTTGTATCCACGTCGAATTCACGTAATTTACATGGAATACATGGATGGACATTTATCCACGAAACATCGATATAGATGCAACGTTGATTTGTCTTCGATAAATCGAGGTATCTCATCTTCGAAATATCCACGTAGATTGTGTTAACTTTAATGTTAATGTATTTTTTTGTTAATGTAGTTTTTGTATTTTTATTACAATTTTTTTATTAATTTGCAGTACAGCTTTTATTATAATAGAAGAGCATCTCAATTGCGCAAGTTGCAATTGATTGAAACTACAGATTCCATGTCCCGACAGAAGCAGATATGTCGAATCCACGTAATTTACGTGAACTACGTTGATGGACATATCCACGAAATATTGATATAAATGCAACGTTCCTTTATCCTCAATAAATCGAAGTGTTTTATCTTCGAAATATCAACGTAGATTTCACCATATCCCGATAAAAACAAATACGTTGTATCCATATTGAATCCAAGTAATTTACGTGAACTACGTTGATGGACATATCCACAAAATATCGATATAGATGCAACAATTATTTATCCTAGATAAATCGAGGTATTTCATCTTCAACGTTTCATGTTAGCCACATCCCCATGCCCAAGTAGAACAAACGAACACAATGATGCTAAAATAAGTAGAAAAATTATCGAATCGTGATTGAAAAGTGAATTTTTCAGTCATTTTCTCATTTTGACATTATTTTGACTTCAACGTGATTTGATGTTCGATCTGGGCAGTACAGCTTTTATTATAATAGAAGAGCATCTCAATTGCGCATGTTGCAATTGACTGAAACTACAGATTATATTGGCTACAGATTATAATTCATTACACTATATATTTAATAATTCATCAAATTATGCTATGCCCATCCACGTAGTCCATGTAAATTACGAAAATTCGACGTGTACGGGAAGGTCGGGTAGTAGCGGACAGCGGTTAGTATCGGACAAAAGTTGTTTCAAGCATTTGCCGTTGAAGGCAGCACCTGTGAAACAATCGGCGTGTTGACTGAAGAAGTCGACTACCCCCCTCCTTCAGTCAACACGCCGATTGTTTCACAGGTGCTGCCTTCAACGGCAAATGTTTGAAACAACTTTCGTCCGATACTAACCGCTGTCCGCTACTACCCAATCTTCCCCTATATAACGTAATAAAAAAATTTTACTATAAAAATTTTAAGACTGAAATGGAATGTGCGGTGTTTCGTAGACCTTACTTCACTAGTTAAAGTTTAAATTAACAATAAAAGTACGAAAAATATAATTTTTATTAAAATTAAATCATATTATAAAAAAAATTATATTACTTCGTTAATTGCAACATATATAGACAAAATATAAGATGTTTATATCGATCGAAGAACTGGTGTAGTGTCTAAAGCAATAGGCTTATAATCCAAAGATGCCTCAAGTCCAAGCAGTGTTGTTAGCTTGGATAGGCATTTCGCGCATGCGTAACAATTAGTGTATCAAGAAAGTATCTAAGGCGAATGAAACAGAGTACCGTTCGGCTCCCTCTTACATAACGAGATAATTTTCAAAGAATTTTGATAAAATATAACATATACTTCTATTATAAGATTGAATACATATTTACGAACATTTCACTAATTCACTTTATTAATTAGTTTATTTATCTTATTTATTTGTCTAATACTTTATTTGACTAATTACTAATAATGTAATATAATTAAGTAATATTAATATGATTGTGTGTATGCGTGTGTGTACGTGCATGCATATGTGTGCGTGTGTGAGTGTGTGCATGCGCACATGAGTATGTGTATGCGTGTGTATATGTGTGTGTGTGTTTGCATGCATGCGTACGTACATACATACATGTGTGCGTGCATAGGTCTGTGAATAAATCTAAAAAATTAATAATTAATTATATCACATATTAGACCCTTATAGAAATATCATACTAAGAATCATTGATAATTACTTATTTTCAGTATTAAAAATACTGGATAATAAGTAATTATCAATGATTCTTAGTATGATATTTCTATAAGGGGATATTACAGACTATATTATATATTACATTGATACACCAGACATCGGCTGTTTCACTTACGTGAAAAAAATAATTATAAATAAATGATTATAGTTTAAAAGACGAAATAAAAATAACTAGAAAAAAATAAAATAAAAACTATGAACTACCAGGTACATCACGATTTCTATTATGTATTATTTGGGTCGAAAGTAATTTTAAGTGTTCAGAATCTACTTTGAAATTAAAACAATTAATGTTTTTAGACTGAAAACTAGATCTAACAGTACAAACAGCGGAAACAGTATTATTCGTTAATCGATTAATTTTTTTATTTTTTACATCGGAAAATATAGAAAAGATGCGCTCGCCCTTATAGAAATATCATACTAAGAATCATTGATTAATTACTTATTTTCAGTATTAAAAGTACAGTATTTAGTAATATTCTGTGATTCAAATACAGCTTTTAGTACTCAAGTATTTCAATATTTAATGTTACAAATCCTACCTTATGATTGATTTCAATACTTAAATATTGATATGTAATACTTCGTCCAGTGATAAAATACTTACGCAGAACATTGTCAATATTTAAATACGTAAAAATTATATAACTATTATTTGGTGTTTGCTAGGTATGTTATAATATACTGTGGACAATCTAAGGATACATTATATAAGCATGAATTGCAAGAACATCGTTGGAGTCATCAGAGTCACCGCGTGCGCGCTCGATCGTCAGGTTTAAGCAACAGTTTAATGCGGTCAGGACATGGATGGGTGGTGACCAGTGGTATACCGCTTGGGATCGAAATTATCGCAGGAGGATTCATGAAGGTTTGGAATGTGTTGACAAAGTTCGATATCTAGTAGTTTATGGGACATGAGAAAATTAGGTATATAAGTATATTTTTGTAAACATTATGATTTTCTCATTTTTCACCTTCGCATAATAATTCTCAGTATTTGATTACTATCAATATATAGCAGTGATTTTATTATCAGTATTCACCAGAAATTAAGTACTGGCCAAAAAATTACTGAATTACTGGTAATATTTAATCACTAATAATTTTTCAGTATTTCTTAGTATGATATTTCTATAAGGACGGCTTCGGCATTTGAAAGGGGCAAAGAAAGAACTGAATAAACTAATAATTCTAAATTTGGAAACATTTTGTCCCCATTAAAATTTTTACATTCTAATATTTTTGTCCACATATCATTAATTTCTAAAAGTGCTAAATTTTCTTTTTCAGTGTCGTTATAAATAGAGGGTTGATTTGTCCATTCAAAAGTTAATTTTGTAATATCAATATGTCTTATACGCGTCGCAAGCAAAGTTAAATTTCTAATTTTATTTCTACTCTCATTATA